CAATCTCACGGATTTTTTCAAGTCTTACGGATTTTTTCAAAACCTGATTTTCAAATTTATCTAACATGTCAGAGCCTATAGGATGATTAAAAAAAACAATAAACAACATAAGACAGCCATCTTTTAACCTGTTCTGCCACTAGAAATACATTTTGAACTTTTTTCCGCTCTCCTCTCCTCCTGCTGCTCAGCGGGCGCTTTCATGTCCGCAGCCATAATTCAATGAACTGTCTTTATCCCCCCTTCTCAGTAAAGTCATATAGTCCTTTAGCTGAGAGAGAGAAAAGTTCCAGATACCTTATAATTCAACTCTGTCTAAAAATTGTGATTTTAAACTTAAAGTGTATTGGGTCATCTAGGATCTCAGCTTACAAAAAGTAATAAGACCCTTTTCTCCTCTGAACAAAAGAAAGAGGAGGAGAAAGGGAATAATTATTCATGAATATGCTAAATCGGAAGAAGTATATCTCCTGTTGGACCCACAGAGGCGGTTCAGTCTTTGGGGCATCTTGTCTAGATCAGCCCTCTATGGACTAGTAGAGCTTAGTCTGTATTTTTTGCTTTTGATTTTACTAAAAATAAGGATGTAAACACCTTATTAATATTAACCTGTTTTGATATTTTTTCACTTTAATAAACCTTTTGCTAAGAGAGCACAAATCCACTTCAGCGAGTCCTGGTGTCTAATTTGAGTCCTCGATAAGTTCATTCTTCTGTATCATTTTGCTGGTTTTATTATAAAGGTGTTACAGCGCACTGGTCTGATAGCAACCTCACCAGGGTGTCGCATCCCCCCCCCCCCCCCCGCTTTCGGATCCACTAGCCTCTGACAGAAAGGAGTGTGGGGTGAGAGCAGCAGGAGAAGAAAATCTGGAGATTCCCAGGTGAACGGGGGATCTCTTCTCTTTCAAGTCTCTGTAAGTCTGTGCCCCAGATGACTGATGTATGACAGCATTTATCCTCAAACCAAACAGGCCATTTTGCTAATCAAAATCCTACTTGTCTAATAAATTTGCTAAATCTTTCCTAGGAACAGGTGATTTGAGACTTTTATTAGGCTGAGTCAGTAGGTAAGCTCTCAGGCCATGAGCTCCTCAGAAAGACTGTATTATGCCAGGATAAAATTCCTGAATAATAGCTGGATTAAACTAATATTAATTGAGTTTATGACAGAAGGACTCAGGCCTTGACAATTTTCTTCATAATTTTAGTTTTGAGAAGGTGTAGGTACAATCCCTACATCTGAGAAAAGCTCTTAGCTTTAGACAACAAGAAAACTGGTTTAATATGAATGGTACTCACCCAACAAGTCTTTAAACATGGTCTTCTCGTGAGTCAGCAGGTGGTCAATAATAGATTTCCAACTACAGAGAAAATAAGAGAACCATACCAGACAGTTTAAAAATCTTAAAAAGTGGAGAATAAATGCAAATAAAATGAGGTTTGTGATTAACATGTCACTGTCAGTTTCCTGTGAGAACACAGTGCTCGTTGATTAAATTGAAATACAATAAATGGTTATCTGTGAAGACAGTTGTGGCTTGAATGACAGTGACCCCACATAAATAAAGACTTGTTGATTCTCTTCCTGTTTTAAACAAATGACTACAACCGATCACAAAGTACTGTATAAGACTGTATTTAAAATTCAATTAATATCCTTCATAACCATAAACTTCTGTTATCATATAGAAAGATTAATTAATTAGTAAAGTAAAGTTTTATTTATATAGCGCCTTTCACAGAAATAAATTCACATGGTGCTGTACATTCAGGGAAGGGTGGAGGGGGCAGTTAAGAAACACCCATTCAAGAAGACATACGATACAAACATGGGGGAACAGGTGAAAACGGTCATGCAGCAAACACAGTTGTGCTACCTTTAACAACAGCTTGAAATACACAAAAGGAAAATTGAGTTAAACAACCCGCGAGAGAGCAAGACAGCCTGGGGGGTGGGGTGGGGGCTTAGGTCAGATAACACATAAAGGGGAGGTAAAATGGGGCAGGTTCAAGGGAGTAGGTGACGTTGAGGGAGGGTGGGGGAGGGGGTCCGTGCTACGCCCAACCCTGGGCCTATCCAGAGTCCAGAGTCACATGATGTTATTGTCTCTACTCAGTTCGCTAGAGTTCAGAGATTTTCCTCCTCCTCAGCCAATTGAGTTCCAAGGCCGGGTCCAACACAGGTGATGGGGGTGGGAGTGAATCCAGCTCTTAGTTGACATTCCATCCAGGGGAGGTTAAGATAAGCACTGCCCTCAAGGCCGTGCCGCTGGGCGCCAGATAGATAATCCAATTGTTTTGGAACAAAGCAGCCTTGACATTCCTGCTGCTTTTGAAGTGTCTTTACTGCAAACTCTGAGGTGGCAAAAAAACTTCAAGTGTGCCCGACAGCTTTTCAAAGGCCCRATCCACTGTCAGGGTCGCTTTCACTTATTGATAAATCTAGAACCCTCCTCCGCCGATCAGCAGGAATCCAATTATCATAATCCAAATAAATAAAGATCTTCTATGTCTTCGATGGAAAGTGGTGCTGGCATATCAGATTCCAGCCCCAGGAATCAGACAAAACCAGCAGCAACCATTCTACCCAGACAGTCACGTTCCCCTCGTTTCAAGTGTGGAAAAAATAGAGTCCAGTTGACCAAATCCATAATTCCTTTAGTTTCAGATGGAAGGTGAAAAAAAGAGCTCGAAGAAGCAAAAGCAGTGGGGGGGCAAGGCCAAGCAGAAAGTGTTTAATTACAATGTTGTCCAAAATTACCTAATAATCTTGAAAGTCAGAATCAATCTATATTTGCATAATGTGAAATTAAATGTATTGGTTTGAAAATTAAACTAAATAAAAAAAATCTGAACAGTTACAAATTTGTTTTGAAAAGCAAAGCAAAGCAACTTAGCAAACGTGTGTTGTTTTAGCTAAAGCTCGTAAATTGAGAAGAGTAATTTTAATTAGATCAAACATTTACAACCAACAGGCAAACATACTGACTTGTGTGCACAGGAGGCATCCATAGTGAAGAAGAGTGGGTCCATGAAGAGCTCAAAGACCTCCTTCTTCCAGGCTCTTTTGGTGTAAGCATAACCACTGAGACTGCTCAGCAACTGAGCACCTGCATCAAAGCTGGGCATATTGTAGGCACTGCAAGAAGAAAAACAAAAACAGACATTTTCAATTCAATTCAAATTCAAAAATACTTTATTGATCCCAGAGGTAAATTAGGTATTTTGGTAAGCAAAAGTGAACGAGTGAGTATTATAAAGACTTCATCAGCAGCTACCTGTGATTCTTGAGGTAGGGGAAAACATAGTAGAGGAGACGTGAAATGAGAGGAACGGCTTTTTCCTTCTCATCACTGCGATACACCATGTCCAGGAGGGGTGCCAAGATCTACACAGGAGGACAGTGTTAGCATGCAAAGACAAGTTAACCTATCATTTGCCTAAAACAATAAAAGATATAAAGATATTCACCTCAGCAAGCAGTTTCAGAGCCTGCACACTGTAAACTGAGGGCGCAGAGGAGGACACCATGGCGTTAGCTTGAGTTACTGACTCTGAAATGGACAAAATAATAAAGAGATATCAGTAATTATTATTATCTGCACCACAAGAGAGATGTTCTTCATTTACTACAATGCTTTTATTTTGCATATTTAAAAATTACCACAGTGATCCCCTTCCACGTCAGCGTCATCTGGCTCCTCTGCCTCTGGGCACACTTGCGGCTGAACTTTGACCTCTAGGCTGCGGCTGAGCCAGCTGGTTTGCTCCAGAGAGGAGCCTGCAATTCCACTCACGGCCTCAAGGATCTTCTGAGTCACCTCCTGTGCAATAATCTATCAGATAATCTGCACTTTCCTATGATCTCAGACAACAAACATCATGATGACCCAAGATGATCACATCTCACCTGCAGATCTTTAGTGTCCTTCTTACTGTCCAGGTTGGGCAGCCGATTGACAAAGTCATTCAGGATTCTGGAAGACGTTATTTAACAGAAGTAGAATTTTAAGATCAGTGAAAGAATTAATATATTTATTTGGTTTAGGATAAGGACTTACCCCAGAAGTAGGAAATGTCCAGGAGGGGCCATGTTCAGCTGAACAGACTCCCGCAGGAGACCCAAGAGAGGAGCAACATTTTCCTGCAGAGCCTGTGCTGGAATGCTGCATACAAATACAGAAATTACAGTTAAAGTCAACAAAGGAAGAAAGAAACTGAGATATTTTTATATTTGCACATACCTCTGAATGTAAGCATAGCTGAACTGCAACACGGGAATATCAACCAGTGCTGACTTCTGATTAAGAGAAAAGAAAAAACATTGAACTGTCAAATTAGCACAAGTAAGAATATTTGAATGCCTTTCCCTGCACTTGCTCACATACCTGCTCTCCTCTGATCTGATGCGGTCTCTTCACGACCTCTTTGACCAGCTGTAAGATATTTTCTGTGTTCAAAGTGTTGAGTGACTTCACCAGCTCCACGATGACCAGACGAGACTCGCTGGCCACGAGCAGAACCTAAAGAAAACCAGAATTTAAAGACCCGAAAAAATAATCGGTAAGATGTTTTCTCCCCAAACGTGGAAGTYCTTACTTTGTTTTTATGTCTCCTTTTGCTCCTTCTGCTGTTCCACACTACTCCCACTGAAGCCATCAGCTGAACCCCATAATGTCCAGTTAGAGGGAGCAGAAACTCCAGTATCCTCTGTCGCAAAATCTAATCAAGCACATATAAAGGATTTAATACATCTTCGCTAATAGAATGTGATTATATAGCAAACACATTAGAGGATGAGCAAATATACACAGCATGAATATCCCATCTCTATGCATACCTTGGTGCATTTGAAATAAACAGAGGTAGAAGTGTGTCTGCTGCTCTGGGCGGAGTCAGACGCTCGCCTCTGACCCTCCTCCTTTGTGACCACACCCCAAAGCAACGCCATGCTACTGAGCATGTGTGGCAGCGTCTCCAGCACAGCGTTGCGTGCATTTCGGACGTCCACAGGATCGCTTGTGACTAGAGACTGAGAAAAAGAGGAAGAGGAAGGATCAAAAACATAAATACATTTTTTTTATTTTATCGATTTGCATAACATAGCAGAACTAAAAAGGATAAGAGAAGTGTACAACAAACTTTAACATATAAGCTAAAACATTTACAACTAATAGAAAACATTTCACAGACAAGACTTAAAAATATTGTTGAAAGATGTTGTTTAGGAGTGTTCCTACGTGCTTAAATCAATATTTTAATGTGAAAAATTTGACAAAAATGGAAAATATTAATCCATTAAATTCTTTGTAGAATTTTTTTATTTTCATGTTTAAAGTTAAATAACAGATAAAAATCAATAAAATAGGTGGATAAATATTCACACATAAAAACACAGGTAAGATACATGTTAACCTCAAATATATATAAAAGCTTATATTTAATTTAAAAAATGAGCAAATTCGTTTTTTTGACAATATTCATCACTTTTTTGTCCGGAAAAGGAAAGACCTCTAAAACCTTGTCACAAAATATCAAGTTGACTTCAGAATATTTCCTTATTGTTTTTCTATTCCATGTTTATTATTACACCTGGAAATTTAGATTTGAGAAACTTTTTTTTACTACAAATTACGTTATAATTTATTTTATTACTGAAGAAAGGTTTATTCTTCTCAAATTACTTCAAAATAACAGACGTTCATAATTTGTTTCATCATTTACTGCAGGGTTCCTACAGCTTAAGGAAAGTTAAATCTAAGACTTTTTAATACCACTTGAAATTAAATTTAAGACCAACTTCACAATAAACACAAATGTAAAAAACAAACAAAAAAACCCCACCCAGCAACAATTTTACCTAAATGTTTATTTTAGGAAAAACAAATAGCTGCAGTAAATTTGGTAAATAATATTGAAAAACTAAATAAATGTTAACAAWTTTTTTTAAATATTTGAGACAAATACAATCATCCTAACATTTTTAAGACCTGTGAAAGATTGATTTAAGTCATTTTAAGGCTAAATAAGGCCTTATTTTTGGATTGATGAATTCAATCCCTTTTAAGACTTTTTAAGGATCTGCAGGAACCCTGTGTGTGCTCCATTTCTAACCTTCTTGTTGTCCAAAAGACAGAAGTGTGTGATGCTGGTTAGGCCTTCGAGGAGAGTCAACGGATAGTCAGGAGCAATGTTTTCCCTCTTGCCAATCACACTGATAAAAAATAAAAAGAAACATGCAACATTTTATTTACAGTAATGCCTTATAAATCTTTTATAAAAGCAACAAAAGTACAACATCTAAAAAGGTATATTTTGCCAGTAAAATCTTGTGTAATCAGGCTACCTCTGGTTTGTCTTCCCTCCGTCATGCTCATGCAGCTTCACCAGCTCATCCAGGTTCCTGCAGATCTGATTGATCAGCGGAGCCACGATGATCCCCAACGAGCGGCCCAGGTACGGCAGGGAGGAGCACAGCAGCGACACCCAGTGGGGGTGCATGGCGTACCCGTACTGAGGCTGCAGAGCTCTCGCTGCAGCAGAAACAAACATCCCCTGCGCTGTGATGGGGTGACTCGGCACGTACTGGGCCGCTTTGATGGACTGCTGGAAAAGCACAGCGGTTTGCCACTCGCGAGCGAGCGGGGTGGCTGCAGGAGAGGATTCACGCGAATCGCCAGGCTGGCCGTTTGCTCCGCCAGCTGCGGAGACAACGCCACCAGGCCACACGTGGTACTCAAGCACTATGAGAGCCTGCAGCAATTTYAGTAGTTCTATTTGTAAGGGGCACTGCTCCTGTCCCCCACCTGTGCCCAAACAGAGCAGACTCTCCTCCGATAGACCTCCTTGAACATCGAGTTCAGCTCCTGATCTTTTCTCTGCTCCTCTTTGGCTGATGTACATAGATGCAGAGAGAGAAAGTAGTGCATTTTGCTGCACTTTACATCCTGAGAGGAGTTTGTGCATCGACTCCAGACTGGCTCTGCTGCCTTCCTGTCTTTGTGCCGTGCAGCCGAGCTGATTCACTATCCGAGTCAGCACTGCTACGCTCTTCACCTGCRCCTCCCTGTTCCCCTGCAGGTCCAGAGGAGTTGGGCTCAGATAGGAAGGGTAATGAGAGCGCAGGAACCGGAGGCAGAGAGACACCAGGAGTTCAATGAGCAGGGATGGGGGTACGGATGGGGAGGACGTGGGAGAAAGCAGGCCGCCGTAGAACCCCTTGCCATCCTGAGCCTGCTGGTGACGCTGCAGCAGGTTTGAGATCAGGTTTAGATGTGCAGCGGAGCTCGTGTCCAATGACGTGGAGCACAGTGCATCCACCAGATGGCACTCGGCGCTGCTCCTCAGCAGGCTGTCCAGCAGTGCCAAACCCTGGAGGAGATGGCGCCAGCCACCTGCCGCCGGGTACAGCAGGACATGACGGAACAGGGAGTCGATGGCTTCTCTCTTTTTACGCTCCTGCTCTAACTGACGAGACTTTGCTGTAGCCTCCAGCTCCAAATCCTCCTCATCTTCACTGGACAGCGATTCAGACGCTTGCGTGTGCTCGGACTCTACCCTCCGCAGGCCGTTCACCAGCCCTCCCTCCTCAAAACTGCTGGGCAGAGCAGAGCCTGAACTGGAGTTCTCAGTGGAAACTTGGGCGCCACTGGTGTCAGCCGACTCCGTGTGTTCACTCTCAGGCTCCTCCTCTTCCCCTTCCTCCTGATCCTCCTCTTCTTCTGTCTCCTCACTCTCGCTTCTTGACATCACTAGATCGTCTGGTGGCTTTGCCAGTTCTGGACCGCCGTCCAGCTCAGCCCACAGAGCTTCCCGGTCCACAACATTCAGGATACTTAAAGTAGTGACATCCGTCGAGACATTGTCGGTGGATGTACGAGAAGTTTTGGTTGAACTCCGACTTCTGTTTGACTCCTTCAGGTTACCTTTAAAAMAATTGTGTCAAGTTAACAAAACATGCATAAAAAGCAGACAATCARTCATTTAATAATTCATTATTACAGGCAACACATGCTGGTGAAGGAACCTACCAGTGGTCATGTTTTGTTTGATGCTCTGAATGGAGCAGCGCTGAGTTGATGGATGGAGCAGCAGCAACAGAATTGGCTCCAGGATTCGAATGACATCATTGAGAGACAAAGCTCTAACCAACCAGCGGTGAGCTGCTGCACTTATCGATCCGTCAGTGGAGCTCAGGCTGTCCACCACAACACACAGAGACCTGAAAGAAACAACGGTTCAGAACAAAAAAAATGTAAACACAGAAACATTTTAAAAATAACTTCATTTTTAATTTTTTTACATTTCTTAGGGTATTTATTCATTACGGATTATTCATGTTGGAAAATAACGCATTTTCAAACCATTCATAAATGCATATAATTTAAAGTTAATGTTTATTTACAAAAACAATTTATGTACATGGCTTCAAAATTGACAAAAAAAAAACTGTACATAAACACAGGGTATTATAAGAGCATAAGCTATATTAAATACCAGCTGTTTAACCAAGGTAAACTAAATCAAAATGACAGAACAAAAGACATTTTATAAAAAYGCTGCCCTGAACTTGTACTGACCGGTCAAAGGAGCGGCAGAGAGACATGGTTCTGTTGCTCTGAATTTCTCGGGTCAGGTGCCACAGCACTGTGAAACGGTGTAGAGCTTCCAGCCTCTCTGCCTGGAGAATAAAAACACATAAACCTTTGGCTAATTTGCTCAACTTAGGCTGAATATTATGTTAGATCATTTTGTTTGTCTTTGCTTAAAGTGAACATATCCATCCATTACCTATACCCACTTCTTCCTTTCAGGGTCAGAGAGGTCACTGGTGCCCATACCCAGCAGTCACTGTGTGAAGGGTGGGGTACACCCTGGACAAGTCGCAAGTCCTTCACAGGACCACACAGAGACACTCTCTCTGTCACACCGAGGGACAACTAGTTACCAATTAACCTAACAGTCATGTTTTTAGTCTGTGGGAGCCAAAGTATCTGGAGAAAACCCATGGAGAGAACATGCAAACTCTACCCAGAAAGGTCTCATACTGCTGAGAGGCATCAGCTCTACCAAGTGAGCCACCCATGCTTTTAAATCCTTTTAAATCCTTCTTTTTTCACATTTAAAAAGTAAAAAAGTGGAACTGCAACTCCACATGTAGTGGGATTATGTTGGCAAAGTGTAAAATCATAAAAGCAAAAAAGGCAATTGGTAGAGTAATTAATTAGTCAGTAGATGTGTAATTCAGTATAATTAGATGTGTGATTTAACAACATAATCAGCAGATATGTGATCTAGTAGAACAATAATCACTAAGATGTGTGACTTAGAAGCTTGTTTATTAAAATATGATATTATAAACAAGTAATTCATGCTGGATAAAAATGTACGTGACCTGTAAAAGCAACTCCAACATGAYTGTGTGTAACAAAGAACAAGCAGAAGGCAGGGGATGGTGAGACCTTGCATCAGCTCATTAAACTCTTTGTAAAGGGGAGGCAAACACTGGTWCCCTCCTTAGAAATACAAGGTCGGCCTGATAAGAGTTGAGCCAAGTTTTGATTTAGACCTGACATAAGGGCTGAGTAAGACCCAGTTAGTGTTGAACAGTACTCATGAGAAATTCCCAGCTTCAGCATGTTTTTGGTAGCTGCTTGAACATAGATCCAAGGCCATGAGTTTCTACACAACCTGTTGCAGTTTTTTTAGTTTCTCAAAGGCAGATTAAATTACACATTAAAGGTTTGTTTGATCATGTATTGAACCAAGAATAAAATACTGTAATGAGATGTTTTCAGTAGCAGTAGATCTATGATGAACTGAACCGTCAAAATGTAATGAACACAATATACTGTATATGTATGTAAAACTCACTCTTTGAAGCTTTTTTTTTTAAAAACTACATGAACTAGACTTTGATTTTAATTGTGAAAAAAAGGTGAAACAATTGTGTCACCAGAGTGAGGAAAGGGCAGCCACAAAGGGGAGYTCAAGAACAGAAGGAGGGATTACACCATTAACAAAATGAGGCTGTCCCAAAAAGGAGAAAAAGGCAGACGCTGACTTCAGGGAGGAGGGAATCAGAATCAGAATCAGCTTTATTGTCATTGTCAGTAATAACACAGACTAGGAACTTACAGTTTAGAACATCCGTTTGGAGAAAGACACACATAACAAACATGGGGGAACGAATGACCACAGTCTTTCGCACCACGGTGCACTATCATTTGCAGCTTGGAAAACACACAATAGGAAAGGTGAGTTAAAAAAAGAGCTCTGATCCTGTGTTTTACACAGAAACATATGCTCAAAAAAAAAAAACACTTGCAGTACAAGGCAGCTAAGGAGGGGAGGGGGGTGGGGGTCAAAGCCAGACACTCGCCCGGTCGCCACCATTCCACTTGGACAACATGGTATGGGGTGGGGATCAGCGGAGCCGATGACATTCAGGTTAGTCTCCATGTTGGAACCAGTCAAAGACCTCCAGAGTCCGACCAGAGTCAGTTCTCTGTCTCCASCCATCGCGGCCTTCAGACTGATCCACCCACGGGTGAAATGGGTAGGGATTGGGGGGAGTCAAGGCTTTTTTCTCATGTGTCATCCAGGAATTCCTTTGTTTTCGGATGACAGGTAGAAGAAAGGCTTGACAAAGCTGCAAAGCAGGGAAGGAGGGACAGGTTCGGGAGAGAGAGCAAARGGCGTCCGACTCCTCTGAAGGCCARGMAGRAAAAAAAATTACCGTCCAGAGGGAGGAAACATCAGTCCTATAAATTAGACAGTTTTATTTCCGGGACAGGTCCGGACTGCCGTGACTCAAAGTTTTATGGAATGCCAGCTGTTTTTGGGGCATAAAATTAACCTTTTAAAACTTGTATCGAMGCCTACTCTCATCATTTGAAGCATCATTTTTGGGTGATTTTTGCATTGGAAATAAGATTCACTAAGTTTTCAGAAGGTCAATACTTAACAATTTTAAACTAAAACAAAAATAATTATAAATCTAAGTACTCTTTTAAAAAATACACTACACAAGCACCTCTTTCACCCATTTTCTGATGTCTGTCTTAGATCAACTCATTTTGAGGCCGTTTCTTCAAATCCAAATGAGGCGTTTCACCCTCCAACCCTCTCCAGCTTCCTGAGCCGTCTGTTCTAGTTTGATAGTGGGTTTTACGACTACATAATGACACAGAAACTATTTTTTTACAAATTAATTAAAAGATGTCAACAACAATGAAAAACCTGTCCATCCAGCCTTACATGTTGGAGCCAGAGTCTRACCCAGACCCAGAGGAGAATGAAGATCACCAAATTGTATTTGGTAAGTCCAGACCTTATTTGGCAGTCTCGTTCCAAATACTGTGACTAATAGTTCATAAAAYGTCATAGAAAATAGAGAAAACTGAAGGGGCTGGAAAACCCAAAMAGAATATAAAATACTGTATCTATGCAGAACCTGGAGAGACTAAATTCAAATTTTCTGAACTCTTAGAGTCCTCAAGTACTCAATAAAACACATTTAATGGCAAAAAAGTGGAATTTGTAGGATATGTCCCCTTTAAGTAACACATTCAGAAGAAAATAGAAAATAAATACTGAACCTAAATACCTTGTCTTTGTGCAASAGTGCCTGACAAATGATGTCTTCACAGATGGATGCTGATGGAGCCAAACAGTGTAGCCTGTAAAACAGATCCACACAGGAAACGTGCTGCTCTCGCTGCTCTGTGTCCAGCTGACTCCACAGTAMCTTGGACACTCTCTGGGTCACAGCACAACAAAAAGAAAATACCAAATCAAGTATTTATATTACAGGTTTACTTGTACACAAACAGCTTGGCCTTTAATAATCTGACCTGATAAAAATCTGTGCTGTCCTCTATGGCACAAAGCAGAACCGGGTAGATGGGTGGCACAGTGGCCATCTGCAGCCGCCCACTWAGTGGGTTGGACTTAGAGCTCCGGTATCGTTTGTGTTTGTCCTGAATGACCAGTGCTAAGGACTGGGAGTGGTTAATGAGCTCCAACAGGGAAGCCAGTGCGGTGTGCTGGATGTTGTGGTCCCTGGACATGCAGCACAGAATCATCAAGGACCTGAGCCACACAGGTAAGCTGTCCACRTCACTGCCTGAGGCAAACAAAACAATCTGATTGGTCACTTGTGGCATACAAAGGTATTAAACRCTCATTAGTCCATCCACTGACCTGTGTTACCAAACATGTCTGTGTGCAGAGCAAGCATCTCGTCCTCACTGAGGTAAACAGGGAAGGTGGTGCTCTCCAGCAGCAGGTGGCAGGTGGCGATGAAGGCCTGTCTGCAGGCCTCGGTGATCTCAGCCTTCCCCCGGGGCATGTAACCAGCTGTCCAGTCCAAGCACCTTGCAGGTACAAGGTCCTTCTTCTTTTCAGTGGGGGATGATGAGAGCTGAGCTTCTTCAGAGGAGGCGCGAGCTTTGCGTTTATTCTGTGTAAACAGTTCAGTGAGTTTGTCTTTAATTTCACGCCTWCCTAACAAAAGCTTCTGATCCGCAGAGGTCGGACTTAAGTCATGTTGGGGTTCTGGWTCTGGTCCCCTGACATCTTCTACCTGCACCATCAAGCATCTGAAACAGAAGAGGAAGGAAAAACATTCAGAAAAAGCTCTCGAGTTTCAACATGTGGTCATATGTCCACAGTCGACCTGGTGGTGATGAAGGCGAGGATGTCCTGCAGACACTGCGTCATGGTGTCCACACCGCCTCCCCTTCTCCACACCCCMTCACTGGTTTTGCTGTTTCTGTGTTGCTCAGCGCCTGCCGTCACTTCCAGGGAGAGATGCTGCTCTGAGGGTGAGGCGCTGATGCCCAATCCACTGTCCTCGGACCTCAGAGCTGGGTAAACACCATTTGCTGCCTCTTCTTCCCCTCCTCCGTCTCGCCTCTCTTGGTCATCTTCTTGATACCCATTAACACTGCTATCTTTCTCTCCTCCATTCTGTAAATCCTAGAGAAAGTACAAAAGACAYGAGACACACCAACATATTTTTAATTTAAAAAAATAATAATAAATCGCACTAGCATTGACATAAAAAAAAACTCGCCTGCGTTTTTGTGGTTTTCTCCTCAGGAACCTGTAACTCTAGCTCCTCAGTGTGCTCTGCAGCTTCAACTTCCATGTAAGCCACGGGCATCTGGATTTTACTCAGAACTTTGAAGCAGGCACGCAGCCCCTGTGTGACATCTTCAAGACAAACAGAGACCATGTGGCGACACAGTGCCTGCAGCATGGTGTCAAGCATATCAGGTAGGAAATGGGACTGGATGTCAGCATGGAGCTCCTGTAAAAAAAAACAATAAATAAAAAACACAGACATAATGTTTGAATACAGGGTCTCTACAGGGTGGTTTAAAGTGCCTGTGATATGTCTATCCTTCAAATACAAAAAGTCAAAGAAAACATGTTTATACTTAAGAAAATTGACATAACTGGCCTATTTCCTTTTGAATTTGGCTCAATCAAAACGAAACAGGAAGTGGCATTAAAGGGGAACTAATTAATAAAATAATCTCTCTGGTCTTTGTTTATTAAAGCAAAATTATTTAAACTTTAACTCTTCATCTCTCTTTGATAGCGACTCAAAATAATCAAAAGAAACATCAGATTCTACTCTAGTCTGTGTCGTTAGCTGTTGTAGCAATGCTCTGTTCACATGTCAACATTCCCCTTTGACATCACTTCCTGTTTCTTCACAAGCAAATATCTCAACAACTGTTCATCTCAGCGGCGTGAAATTTGTTTTGCAATATGTTATCAATGTTATCTGTCCAAAAATGCATCCAAGTGTATTGCAAAAATTTGATGTCACAGGCACTTTAAACTCAATCAAGAATTCAATGTCAATATTTCTAAAAGCATTTCTTCAACTTAATTTATTTTATTGTTTGCCTTCATAGCAATGGATTGTTTTCTTATCAAACATCTTATTAAACACCTTAAAACTGGTTCAACAGCACTGTGAATATATTTATGTAGAACTCATTACTGATAAGCCCATGTGTGTTAATCACCAGAGGAAGAACGTCGAGCAGGAAAATTATGAGGTTGGACATTTCTGTGACAGATGGAGCCGGATCACAGTAGTCCTGCTCAGGAGGTGGATCAGAGTTTTCACTGCTAAGAAAACACAACAAAACATGTATTGTTGTCATTTTACCATTTAGAGCAAACAAAAGAAGTTGGCACACACTGTGTCTAGAATAAAGTCACTTCGTAAATAAAATAAGTTTCACATGTAGGGGTCACCTCGAGTCAAATTATCAAGGAACTAWCTTGGACTCTCAGTCCTCTGATGGGCCTTCGAATGGACAAAAACTCTGTTCCACTTAGAACTGTATTTAGGCCACTTTCCTTCTAAATCAGATAAAAACAGAAGAATCTTCTCTTATTTGATTTAGTGTTCTCTAACTGAAAGTATTACGCATTTTGATAATCAGAGAATGTTTATCAAAGTTACAGGAGAAGAGAGGACAGGTCTCTTTTCTCCCTCAGTATGATTTCAGCTGTATGGTTTTTCTGTGGGAAAAATTCTTATTTTACTAAAATAATCTTTATGGTTTAAGTTGAGGAAATATCAATGTTTTACTTGTCTGAATCATATGTGCAAATGTTTTGATAATTTAAATGGGTCATGAAATGTTTTGTTCTGAACCACACAGCAGCAGCAATAGTCTTTGTTTAGTTTCAGGAGGGAACAGCGAGTTCTGAAACTAACACTTTCCTTGATCATTTCTTTTTCTAATCTAACCTTCTGGATGGCGGACCATGGATTCTCTAAGCTTTTAGGAACTAACAGTTTCCGCCCGTCTGGTACACAGAGAAAAGAAAGAGAGTGAGAAAAGGGTGACGCCATCAGTCACTGTGACAGCTAGATACTCTCCGGGGAATCAAAAGCTGAAAACTGTGTCAGGTTTGGTCCCTTCACGCCAACTGGGAAACCTCACAGTGTGGAAAACCACGCCTGGTTTATCCACCTTCAGAAACTCTCCAAAGGGAAGTTTTATTTAAAACCTGGGTTCCAGTCGAGGCCTTGTCTTCTGGTTACGGCTGACGTGGACGTAAACGAGTCAAAGAGCACGCCTTGGGGTCCCCTGTTCGACGGTCTAAAGACAGATTCTCCAGCAGCGCCCCCRYCTACCTGGCAGGTGACAGAACATCATCTCAAGGTAAAAGCTGGCTGTGTGTGTGACGACGAGGTCTGACCGAAGCTGAGCACAGAACGCTTCGCCCTTCTGGTTAAAACCCACATAATTTAAGATAAGGTATAGAAAAGCTAACACCTTTCTTCAACCTTTTTCTTAACCTTGCCTTGCCAACTCCTATAATCTGACGTTTGTGTTTCTATTTAAGTGTGGTTAACAATTAAGAAGTTAAAAGCTTGTTATTGTTGGTCCCAAAACTTTATAGGAAATTAATTGTTCACAATCAGGTGTACTCTATAGTCAATTTTGTATGATTTGTAAAATAAATGATCACATATTATGGTTCAAATCAACATTCACTGACTGAGAGTTAYTTTTTGTGTCCATTCATTCTTGCGCTAAAGAAATGTTTATCCAAAATAAAAGAGATCCTTGCTAATCAAATTACTCTTATAACCTTGTTATAAGAAGTGGAAGAATAAACACTTACACACATAAAAATAAAAAAAATGATGGGGAGAAGTTCATCACTGTATTTAAAATGTGGAAAAAAAAGAGTTAAACTAACTCATAAAAAGAAATGTCTTAATGGGAATTTTTGAATGAACATCACATACTGTACCATCACATCTATATATTTCCCTAAAATACATCTTATATAGTCAACTTTTACTGTAGGAAGAAATCACTTAATGGTATAAAGTATTTTTTTTGACTTGCCACTGTCAAAACKGACATACCTGAGGGATGAGCAGAAGCGCTGAGTCATGTACTCCCACAGGTATTCACTGTTCATGGAGCTCACCAGCATGTTCATCGTCTTTATTATCTCAGATGCATTCTTACTCTCTTTCACCTTACTGTTAGAGGAAGATGAAAGAAAAGCCTTGTTTTCTTATTAAATTATTCTTTGTGGGTGCAGTTCTGTTCCGTTTTATCATTTRTTATTCTCACCTAGAAAGCTGGTTGCCTGACAGCTTTGAGCTGGGAGGGTTTTCCTCCTCGAGCACCTCCAGACAGTAACGGCGAAAAGCTCGGACCACCTCCAACAACACACAGCTCAAGACGGGGGGACCTGAGAGGGAACAATGTCATCAATAAAACCAAACAAACAAACAAACAAWCAAAGAGTTTCTGTAGCACTGCTCAGAGGTCTCTACCTATCTCAGGTTTGTCAAGCAGGCTGATAATAATGCGAAAGGGTTTGAGGTAGCGGATCACGTTTTCTGGATCACCATCTGCCTCCTTTTGTTTGAGAATATTAATCAGAGCCTAAAGTCAAAAACAGAGACAAATCAGAGAAAGAAAATCAGGAGAGACTCACCTAAAGAAAACATTCAGACAAKGCTTGACTTTTCTTTTAAGGCTGGTCAATCATCCTTCAGATCCTTTTTATTGCATTTTAGCACAAATACATAAAAATTACACACAGAAACACTTTGTGATTTTATCTACCTTCACAAGAAAATCTTTGGAATAGGTGTCGAAGTAGAATGACGTGTGCTCCTCTATGGTGGCAGAGAGGGTGGGGTGCGGTGCCACCATTCCCCCTTTTATGTCTGTACCTGGAAACACATACGAAGGAAGATGAACGTAATAAAAGAATAACGAAATACAGTGATCCTTGGCTGCTCGGAGCCAAAATATACATTATGCAATTCATCACTAATGTGTAATCTAATCATYGGCACCTAGGAGCCAGGCGTAGAGGCGCCTGTTGAGGGACATGTCTCTTCTGAGCAGCGTGAGTAAAGCTGCAGACACCACGGTGATCATGTCGTCCACACTCAAAGCAACACTGGGATCTGCTGGATCCTGCACCAACAACACACGGAGCAGGAGTTAGAGCAACAGTAGTATCTTAACTGGAGTAGCTCTCTGAGCGCCCTTGGTTTAGAGAAAAGGGGTTTGATTTTGATTGAATTGGTGAGCTAATGGCTAGTCTGAGCAGGGTCAAGACCAAAGTGGATTGATGCTCTCCTAAAAAAATGTATAGAGATTACTGCAAACATTATTTTATAAACCACCAGCTTCGGATGTTATCATCCATTAAATAGCCGTTATTAGCCGTTATCAGTCCCATAGAATGGCTTCAGACTGTCAGCTGGTTAATATGAGGCATAAAGCCACTAAGGTTAATT